ATTCATCATTTTATAATCCTCCTCTATCTTTTGATCTGGTGGGCGATAACAAACTCCCAGTGTTAAGTTTCCTTTTGGCCCCCCTATTTCAATCCATAGAATTTCCAGAAGCGAATCCAATTCTCTTAGCCTCTCAATCTTTCTAGACTTTATACCCTCTCTGACATACAGAGCCACCCCACCTCCAACCCTTCCCCCCCTATCCTTCCGATATAATATATAACCGGGAATCACCGTATCCCACTGATTTTCCTCATCCCACCAAGTTTCTGAAATACCCACAATGTCTATTTTTCCCTCCAACACTAAGCACTCCAACTCCCTGATTTTACCTCTGACACTTCTAGCATTTGTATAGAAACAGCTATAATTTCCCATACAAGTTAAGCCTGCAGCCTTCCTCTCGCTATCTCGAGACCTTGTCAGGCAGTCCATGTCACTAGCCATGGTCTCAGTGGACAATTTCAATCCACCTCCCTGTAGAAAAACAACAGGTACCCCCTCTTTGAGATGAGCCAACCCGAACCAGAGACTTTTAATCTCCTGTCAGCTTTCCCCCAATATTCAGTTTAAAAACTGCTCTGCCACCTTTTTGATTTTAAGCGCCAGCAGCCTGGTTCCTTCTCGGGACAAGTGGAGACCGTCTCGCCTGTACAGCTCCCTCTTGTTCCAAAAAGCATCCCAGTGTCTAACAAACTTGAAACCTTCCCCCCTACACCATCGTCTCATCCACGCATTGAGACTCCTGATCTGTGGCTGTCTCTCCAGCCCTGCGTGTGGAACAGGTAGCACGTCTGAGAAAGTTACCTTGGAAGTCCTGGACCTAAGTTTCCTGCCCAGCAGCCTAAATTTCTCCTCCAGGACCTCAATTTCTCCTCTCAGGGGTGGCAGCATCCCAGGTGGCCCTGACAGTGCTCCCCAGCCCCAGAGCATCCTTCATCACCAGGTGAAGCATGTGGGCCAGGCAGACAAAGCTCTTGAGGCATGCAGCCTTCACCACTGTCAGCATGTTGGTGCTGGCATTCTTTTTATTCCTGACTCTGTGGCCACAAAGGATGTTGCTGCTGCCCACCCACTGCCTTAGACTACTCTGTTTAATGGCAGCAATGTTTTGTGCCACATAGTCTGCATCCGTCCCCAGCGCATGGAGCAGAACTACTTTGTAGCCCAGTGGCAGGACTGTCTCCTCCTCGGACTTGGGCCCTGCCCCAGCAGTCTGGACAGACAGGTCATCTGGTTGCCATCAGTGGGTGGTGAGGGAGAGGTAGCCATGCTGCTGGCTGTTCTAGAGGTCTGCTGTGAAGTGCACGGGTTTGCCTTGTGCTCTGCAGAGCTCACCCTTGACCAGCACCACTGGGGAGTGGTACATGGTGGGCAAGACTTGTTGGCATATGGTCCTCCATGAGGGGATGGAGTACCAGGGAGCAGCAGCCAGTGAAAGGCTACATCCTCCACAAAGGAGAAGGGTTGGCCATCCACAGCAATCATCTCACAGATGAGGTGAGTGACTGCTTCTTGTGCCCTCCACATAGCCCTTCTGGATGGCAATGATGGTGTCCATGTGGGAATGACCTCTTGGCGGGTGGCCTGCCTTGCTGTCCCACCACCCTTGGCACCTTGAATGCAGGTAGTCTTTCTTGGAGGGGTCTCCTGCCCCCCCCCCGCTTCTCCCTACTGAGAGGAAATGGGCCTTTTCTTCCTCCCACTGGCCACCACTCGTTCCTCTGGTGGCAACAGTCTGGGGTGCACCCTTTGCAGGTGCCTGCAGAGGATGAAAGAGGACAAGTGTTGGGGGCTTGTTCCCCTCTGGAAGTGGATGTGGCACTACCACACAAAGAGGTCACTGCAGAGGGTGCGGAAATGTTTCCAAAGTTTGGGCTGGAAATGACACTCCAGGACTGGAGAAGGTGGGAGGAGGGACAGCTGCTTTCTGGCACTCTACTGGGAGGGGCCACGGAGGAGTGTATTGGAGGCAGGAGCAGCAACAGGGCGTTGTGTGGAAGGGGAGGATGCTTCCCCCCCAGTCACTGTCAGAGACTTCTCCAAAAAGTGTTATCCACTGCTGGTCTGTGGGTGGTGCCAACAACTCTTTGTCTTCTGTGGAGAGCCCTGGGAACAGATCAGGGAAAGGAGGCTCTGAGATCTATGGTGATTCCCTTCCAAAAGCAGGCTTCTATGGGCTGGCAGGATGGGTTTGGTGTCCAGGGACAGGGGCCTGTTGTATGGGGGTGGAGGACTTCTTTTCCCCACGACGAGCACACTTTGCATATACTTTCACCCTCATGGCACAGAGGGTGAACTGGCAGAGACTGAACAAGAGAGAGATCTTGGAATTGTAGTAGATAACTCACTGAAAATGTCGAGACAGTGTGTGACTGCAATAAAAAAAGGCCAATGCTATGCTGGGGATTATTAGGAAGGGTATTGAAAACAGATCAGCCAATATCATAATGCCCCTATATAAATCAATGGTGCGACCTCATTTGGAATACTGTGTGCAGTTCTGGTCACCACACTTTAAAAAGGATATTATAGCTTTGGAAAAAGTGCAGAAAAGGGCAATTCGAATGATAAAAGGGTTGGAACACTTTCCCTATGAAGAAAGGTTAAAGCGCTTAGGGCTCTTTAGCTTGGAGAAACGACGACTGAGGGGTGACATGATTGAGGTTTATAAGATTATGCATGGGAAAGAGCAGGTAGAGAAAGAGGTACTTTTCTCCCTTTCTCACAATACAAGAACTCGTGGGCACTCCATGAAATTGCTGAGCGGTCGGGTTAGAACAGATAAAAGGAAGTACTTCTTCACCCAAAGAGTGATTAACACATGGAATTCACTGCCACAGGAAGTGGTGGCGGCTATAAGCATGGACTGCTTCAAAAGGGAATTAGATAAGCATATGGAGCAGAGGTCCATCAGTGGCTATTAGCCACAAGGTATAGATAGGGACTCTGGGGCAAGTGATGCTCTGTCTTCTTGGTGCTTGGGGGGGGTCAACAGTGGGAGGGCTTCTAATGTCCTGGCCCTACTGGTGGACCTCCTGATGGCACCTGGTATTTTTGGCCACTGTGTGACAGAGTGTTGGACTGGATGGGCCTTTGGCCTGATCCAACATTGGTGTCTCTTATGTTCTTATGTAGAGGGGTTGGTTCACAATCAGGAGGGATGGGAGGGTATAAAATGTGGCCCCTGAGCCAAGGAACCTGCTAGCTAAGCCCCTCTGCTTGGCATCAGCAGAGAGATGGGTAAAGCTCAGAGGCCTGAGTCTACCTAAGACCTCCAAACCCTAGCAGGGGAGAGGAATCACAATCAGAATGTGGGTCCTCAGCTGAGCAAACCACTAGCTAAACCCCTCTGTTCGGCATGAGCAGAGAGACAGAGTACCTCAGAGTTTTGAGTCCACCTAACACCAAAACTCCAGCAGGAAGGAGGAGTTCCCAATCACGAGGGAATGTGCTCTCCTAGTTCACTGTTTAAAAGTTCCCTGCCTCTCTCTGTAACTGAGAAGAGCTAAGAGAAAAGAGGCTGCAGAGCTGAGTGTTTATAGATAGCTTTCTGATCCCAAAGAGCAGAATGTAAATGCTGTTATTGGCAGCCAGTAGTGCCTGTTAAACTATGGAGGGCTCCTATTGGTGTTTCCAACCCTAGCAGGGGAGAGGAATCACAATCAGAATGTGGGTCCTCAGCTGAGCAAACCACGAGCTAAGCCCCTCTGTTCGGCATGAGCAGAGAGACAGAGTACCTCAGAGTTTTTGCTTTTGAGTTTTATAAACAGTTTAATTAAGTGGACACTCTCTGGAAAATGTAATTATTCATGAACCACCATGAACAGCACCAGAGTTTGTGAAATGTTCGTGCTGGTTGCCGTTCCATGAATATTGCATCACAAACCATGAACCAGCCAAAATTTGTGATGAACCTTAGTTTGTGAGCTGGTTTGTGTCCATCCCTAATAGCGTTCCATTGGGCTTTATGGGTTTTCTTCTGAAGCCAGAATTATGTGGTAGTGCTATATTTCCTAATAGAAGAAGAACATCATTGTCCATCTAAACATCTAAGTAAATGGACTGTGGAAGAAGTCACAGGCTAAATTTGCACTTTAAATCTGTAGGAGAAGATGTCATTGGAACACTGGAAGATGCGTTGGTGGATACACATATACTGGAAGAATTTTTAGGCAGTGAGCTTGAATTATTTGGAGCTCGGTAAGTTTAAAAAGCTGCACACACCAGTTTCTTCACTACTTTTCTTTTGTTTTAACTATTTATTATAGTTATACACAGAAAATCCCAGTATAATCGACCTGAAGTATAACTTCACGATTTGTTCTGTATGGAAGTTGTCTTTTACTGCTAAGTGCTGAAATGACAGCCATGTTTTCACCGTTTGCTCCACAAAAGCCAGTTTGGTGTAGTGGTTAAGTGCACGGACTCTAATCTGGGAGAACCGGGTTTGATTCCCCACTCCTCCACTTGCACCTGGCAGGGTGACCTTGGGCAAGCCGTAGTTCTGTTCTTGAAAAAGAGCAGTTTCTGTCAAGAGCTCTCTCAGCCCCACCTACCTCACAGGATGTCTGTTGTGGGGAGGGGAAGGGAAAGGAGTTTGTAAGCCGCTCTGAGACACCTTTGGGTAGTGAAGGGTGGGATATAAATCCAATCTCTTCTCTTCTTCTTCTTCTCAGAAGGCATACATAATTCCAGAAAATTGACAGTGATTAATATTAAAAGGGGTCAGCAGCAGCTGCTGCAGACCCAGTTCAAAGGCAAAAGAATGTCTGAAAATGCTGCTTTCATATTAATTTCTCATGAAGTTACAGATCCTAATATACTTGCAGTGTTTAGAATTTCTAATTCATGTTAGACTAACATCTAATTACACATTTACTGGGTCTAACTCAGTGCCTAACCAAAATAAGATGTGAATGGCTCATTTCCTCTGCAGTAAAAGCTATTCATGTGGCCTTGGAAATCTTAACATACAGCATCTTATCACATTGGAAAACTACTTTTTTTTAAATAGCCACTAACAGTCTCCCTTCTCCTTTTTACCACCCACTGACTCCAATTCCAGGCCAAGCAAGCTACCAGACTCACCACCAGATTCTGGATCAGAGCCATACTCACCACCACAGTCCAAAGGTTGGCATAATGGTCCTAATTTCTGGGCATTCTGTATTTTTAAAAATGTTCATATTGCACAGTAACCTGGAATGGTGCATTTTGTTTCCATTTCAGATGCACATAACCCTATTTCCTGCAGTAATGGAATGCGACTACCACCATCTTTTCCTTCTGCAGGATGCTCCACCAGTACATTTCCTTGCATGTTTTTGGAGGCTTCTTCTAAGAGGAATTCCAGTGGGCAGGTCTATGGAACACAACCGGATTGTAGTCTGAAGACAGGCAATGCAGTAACTCTCTGGAATAATTTTATGTCTTCTGCACACCATTCTTCAAATTATTCTCATCCAGCTTTAAGGGAGTCTCTCAACCCAAGGTAACAAAGTTTATAATGTAATTCTAAGAAAGAAGTGGTAAATGGATTATTATTATTTTTTTTTTAAACCCAAACTTCAGAAACGTTACTAGGAGTTATATTCCAGAATTACTGTGTTAGACTTTCAACAAGTTGTTTACAGCTGTGTTGGTCTAAAAGTGAAATCTGAAAAGCCAAGAATAAAATCCATGCAATATCTTTATGAAGACCAACCTGATGGCACACACTAGTATGAGCTTTTGAGTTTGCCCCAAACCCTTCATCAGACCACATGTCACAAAATAAAAAAGAGGGGAAAAGCAGATTTTTCAATATCACCATGATCTGAAGACCCTCTTGTACCAGAGGCTGTAGTGAAACTTCTGGCAGGCAAAGAAAATTGAGGAGTCAGGTTGCTGCTGGCCAGGGGCCATAAAAGTCAGAGCCAATAAAACAACCGCAGCTCTGCAGCAACAATGAGAGTTCAAGTCAAGTCCCTTTCGCGAAGAACTTTAGCAGCAATTTTTTTAAAAAAAACACAACACGTCTGTAGTACCTTAGAGACTCACTAGCTTACTATGTTATGACAGGAACCTTCTCTATTAGATGAATGAAGCTGGTGTGTACATCTCTCCACAGGGTGGCAGTATTTAAAAGTTTAAGAGGCTATGTGGCTTCTTGTTTCTTTTTTTCTTCCCAAGATTTAAAAATTGGTTTGATAACCTGAATTGCCTTTGGGTTAAACTCCCCCCCATCCCCCAATAATCAGGACAGATTTCTTTATGATTAAAATTTATGTAATTAAAACATTTCCACACCATCTTTCCACCCAGGATAGGGTCCCCTAGGTGGTGACAGCATCCCCAAGTAGTTCTCTTATCTGCTTGGGCTCTGTGGTTGCTGTGCAGAACTTAGTTTGTAGACAGACAGACAGCGGGTTCTGTCTTAGCATTATTTATTTATTGCTGTGGTGGTAATCCTACTCCAGCTTCAGTAGTTTGATAATGGTCAGGGAAGAGAATATTTGGCTGCATGGGGAAAGCCTGTTGGCTCAATTTTCCTACTTCCTATTTTTTAACTGCAGAGACCGTCATCCAGTCCAATACATGTCAGGGGATCAGACCAGTCCCCCCCCCCCCATGTGGAGCTCATGGCCACTACAGCACCCGCAGACTCCTTTCCTGCTCCTGCCAAGTGTTTTTACAAAGTGGGTGAGGCCCAGTGGGGCTTTTGCCCAGCAGGGCCTTCTGATTGGCCACTGGAGATGCCTCTTCAGACTTTAAATAAATTGCTTCAGCAGCAGCTTCCACCATAGCATAAGGTTCTTCACTGTATGACTGGGGATATGCTGAGTGTACGCAAGGAAATATTTTTAAACAATATATTTGTTTTATTAAACATATTTTCTGCTGAAATGTTGAAGAGTTGCAATTAGAGTTATGCATGACCTCACTCCCTGACACTTTGTGGTTGGCTCCACCTCCTGTGGCAGCCATTTTGTGGTTGTGCTCTACCATCCAGTGTAAGAATCCGAAATGCTCAAAGAGGTTGGGGACCCCTGAACTAGACCCTATGGAAAGCAGCTTCTGGTCTGGTCAATTTTCTTACTGACTTAACTTTATTACATAGATCAGCCAGCAATAATGTAATAAAGTCAGGAACACACAAAAGGAAATATGTACATACATTTTAAAAAATCTTAACCTCATTTGTCTAGCCAATTGAATACTTCCCCTCCCTCAGGAAACAGTGTTCAAGAATTCAGGAATTCAGGACTGCACACCTCTCAAGGGAAAATGTTTTTTAATGAGACCTTAAAATATTGTGACATTACTTTATGGAGGACAGAGTTTATATATAATTATTTTAAAGGGATAAATGCTCATGGATGCAAATAGATATGCACACATGAGCAGAAGATTAATTTCTTTCTTTAAAAAAACTAATTCAGGTAGTGTACAAATATTTTACTCACCATGAATGATGCTATGGGCGATATTCTTTTTGCTGGGAGCTATTTGAGAGAAGACCTGGGCAGATGTACAGGCTGAGGCCAGGATGCTGATTGTACCTCCTGCACATAGTTTAGGAAGGCCTAGAGGTATATTTAATGCTGAAAGAGAAGTCACTCCCTTTAAAAAGGAATTTGGATTTTTTAAAATCATATTTGAGATTTTTTAGCATTTTAGTCATTGATACTAATGGTCCTGCCCCTTCCCCCAGCCTTCCCTTGATGTCCAAAAAGAGAAAGTGCTCGGAGATGTTGGAGGACTCTCTTGAATTTCTCACATGCACTGACAGTGTTGGACCAAGTAAGTAAAAAACAAGGCAAAACACACAGATGAAAAGCCTTTAGAGCCTTCATTTCAAACAAATAGAATATACCTAACATGGTACTGCCATACTCTATCTACAGTCTCATACTTAAAAGTAGTAGGATAGAGGAACTGGAATAGATCTGAGGATCATAAAGACACTTCCACTCACATTGGAGCAGAATGCATCTTTCCATCCAATCACTAATGTGTGTTATGACAAAGATTTACGTGTTGGTTTGATATCCATTTGTTGCTTGCTTTGCTCCATTGGCCAAAGATAAGTAACATCTGCAGATGTTAACTGCATGCACATAGGAAATGTAAAGGATTATATTTACAGTGCAGTCCTATGCTGAGTTACTCAGTCAAAATCCAATGAAATTTTCAGGCTTATACTGAAGTAACTCTGCATAAGATTGCATAGTTGGAGCCCTATTTCTTTTAAACTGTCTAGATAACCTTTCTCTCTAATTTTCCTGGTTTAACCTTGGCTGCTAAATTAATAACCCATGCCTAAATTGTATTTATGTACATATTTAAAATATATCCTGTTTTTCAATTTTAGAAAAATTACCAAGGCAACTAACAGCATTGTATTAGAATGATAAATATCTAAACCCATTATGCAACAATTAACAAGGCAAAGCTAGTTACAGGTCCAGCAATCAAATTCATTTAAAATCACAGCAAATGTTAGAGGAAGGAATTAGGAGAGTAAAAAATCAACCTGCCCTACAGCTTCATTCAAGAAAGATCTGGTTCCAAAGGCCATCCTAAAGAACCAGGTGCTTTCTTTATAAAACTTCTGTTTATTATAATATTTATACCCCATGTTTCCTCTTGGCTCAAGGCATATTTGTTCTGAGCAGGTATGGAGAGATAGCATACAATTTTTCTGAATAAATACTTACATATTGTCTAGATGTGATTTCTTTGGGGAAAGTATTCCACATATATGGCATTACCATAGAAAAAGCCCTGTTATCAACCTCTGCTCACTGTGGCTCAGGTAGAAAGAAAAGGGATGCACCATGGACCCCCAGATGTTAATATGAGAGGTCAGGTATGCATGTATGGTAGTAAAGTGTACTTAAGATACTCTGCCTCCAGAACATTTAGGGTTTAAACAGGGTCAAACAACAACTAAAGTGGATGGAACAATTTTGGAGTAATATACTTCATCCCAGTTGGTTCCAGCTGGTCATTTTAGCTCCCACATTTTAATCCAATTACAGTCTATGAATAGTCTTGAAAACCCCTCAGAGTCTCACAGAAAACCCCTCACAGTCTAAAGGGAATTTCAGATTACCCCCTTTAAGCCGTTATTGTACCGTCTTGGAGTAAACAGGTACAGGGGTGGCCATTTCACACAGCCTTTCCCCTACCGGTAAGGAGCCGTCTCTGAAGAGGTTTGGCATTTCAAACTCCGCCGCTTTGTTTTCCTGCCCTTTTTCGCCCACGCGGGCGATCTTCTTTTAAAAAAATGTTCTTTTAAGTGCACTATAGCGCTATAACACAACACCAAAACAGCACAATAGCGACCCCATTGGAATACCTGGACTCCACTGAGATACATAAGATTGGGGGATTTAAAAATAGGAAGTGGAAGCTCGGGAACGCACAGTTTGAGAGCATTTTTTTAAACACTAACTCCTTCTACTCTTGCAAACAGCATCCTCCTTTTGATGGCCAGCATTTCAGGATGCCATGCCTCCAGGGGGGACCAGGGGATCCCCTATACTGTCAGCCATTGCTCCCTCTAAGATGAGTTAGTGTAAGCTGGCTCACAGTTTTTTAGCCTCTGGCTCACATGTTTTTGTTTTAGCTCAGGAAGAATGGCTCCAGAGCAAACTAATTTATGCAGTAGCCAAATAGCTTGCTCACAATTCTAATGTCAGTAGCTCACAAAGTGGAATTTTTGCTCACAGGACTCCACAGCTTAGCGGGAGCATTGCAGAGTTACAGCTTATCTCCTGCCTACAGATATCAGTTCTCAATCTTAGTCTGATGGAAGTTTATCTTTGATACTGTATGCTGTGAGTCACTGAGGAAGCATTTAGGATTTAGGATTTCTAGTTTGTGAAGAGTAATATATGAAGACCATGGAAGATTGAGATTTTTGATAAAGATTTTGTATCGAAACGAACGGCTTTACTCGAGAGGTTCGTAATCTGCTCGTCTCCACGCCACTGCTGTGTCTGGTTGGCGCTTTATAGCTGAAAACAAGGATTAAAACAACATGAGAGCATCACAAGTTTAAGTGCTTGTATTATTGTTATCCATTTGTGTGCACGTTTGCAGCAATTTTCCATTACTTGTTACTCTTTATTGCTGTACCCATTGTATTATTGTACATTAGGGGTGTGTCACCTAATATGCAAAGGAGCTACAAAAAGAGCCCTGGAACAGCAGAGCAAATGCTAGATGCAGACTGGGCCTGAGACTAAATTAAGAACAATAAGAAAGATGGTTAAAATAGTTGTGAAACTTTCAGGAGAGGTTTTGCATGCAGAATGCTAATTTGAAATTTTTTATAGAACTCTGTACTCTTCCCCCCCTTTCTTTTCCCTTCCCCCCTTTCTATATATAAACTAATAAAACTCTATTTTTTAAAAAAGACACACCTGCAATCCAGGCAGGGTTAAAGTGGCTGGGGGGAAAGGAAGTTCTTTTTTTTTTGGGGGGGGGAGCAGTTGGAAAGAGGGAAAAGGTTAATCTCTGCCCACTCTACAACTGCATGCTACCCCTTCCAAGGATGCTTTGCTGCCAAGAAGCAGCTGCCTGGCTAACACTGCACACAGCTGTGTTTGTAACATTTAGTTCGGCCCAGAGACAGTCAAACACCTGGCTGTCCTTCTGAGTCCCAGTGCAACCCAGGAGAGGAGGCAGTCCCTGAGACTGTAGAAAGCCAAAATAATAAGAGTCAGCATCTTCAGCTGTGACCTGACAACTTTGAGAAATCCATGCAGCTCCTTGAATGCTGGTGATGTTTTGGAACGATCAGCTGTACACATGAATTTAAAGTCTGGTTTGTGGGAATGCCTGTGAGTCAGATCTTGGTGCCCTATGTTGGTGTCAAAGACACCACAGGAGTGCAAGACTGGAGACAGGAGTTCATTTATGAATGTATAAGAAATTGCAGTGTTTGCCCTCCTCTCTGCACTTCTCAGCTGCAATTACACAGGCTATTCAAAGCCTTTCAGCCTGGCAGCTGAAGGACATCTTCTGCACAGTCCTGAGTGTGCTCATTTTAGGTCACTTAGAACTTCCAACCCTCAGTCTTTCTGAAACCATGCAAAGTATCACAGACATTGTAGCTAGAGTCACTTTAGATCATTGACCTATTTCATAGCAATGTGCCCAGAGTTCTTTGGAGTGTAAAACATGATTTAGTTATTGTGCATTAGTTCCCCATCTAAAGAAAAGGAGTCTCTCTTTTTCTCTCTGTATCTGTGAAACAGCAGAATATAACAACCCATCATCAGTTTCCACATTGGCATGGAGAGCTTTTGATGTGGATAGGGTTAATGGGGATATGTGTGCGGCTTTAAGATGTAATACGACGAGGGCTTTATTGGTTGTTTTCACACATTTAGAAGTGATGCATTTTAATTGGGGATGCCATTCAAGCAAAACAAGCGGGTGCTCAGTTCTGATTCATGTTTCAGAACACATGTTGCTATGCCTCAAGGAGTGTTTATATCTCAATACACCCCATGGTTTTGTTATGTTATTACAGTACATTCTCTCCTTAATTGCCAACATTTATATAGGATACATAAACAATGCAAGAGGCCCAAATGCACTTCTATTAGTATCACACAACAAAATACTCTTATAGAGCAATCCTATGCATAATTACTCCCATCAAAGCCCACTGAATGGCACATAATTCTGCGTAAGACCCACTGTTAGACTGCTGTCATACTGGGACACTTTAGTGTTGCTCAGTCATTCCTTTCCCACAGTTAGAAACTATATTCTTCATAAATATTCAGCTATGCATAAGATCCTACACTGTATTTACTCAGAAGTACCATTCAGCAAAAGTTCTGCAGCTTCTTCCATTTTCCTTTGTTCACAACCTGATGAGTTATTTCCCATGGGTGTGGCATTCCTGAAATAATGGTAAATGTTTGCCCTTGTTTCAGTGGGGTGGGTGTTTAAGCACTGTGCAGTCAAACTGATTGCTTTTTTATTTTATTGTTATTATCAGTTTCATAATAGCACTATAATGATAATAAAGATGAGAGTGGCTTTGGCTGCAAAGTGAAAAGCAGTGCTTAAGTCTCCTCCCCAAAAGACAAGAACTGATGATTAACAACTGATTCATGAACATTGTGGCTAGCAGGTGGAAGAGAATAGAAAGTAATTAAGCTCAGAGCAGAAGGAAAAGAGGGGGAAATATTAAGGTAGTCCTGAGAAACCTCAGTACTGCTTTGACTGGCCCCTCTGGAAGGGTTGCAGTTGTGTGTTATGTTAAAGAATTACACAAAGTTTTTCTGGGAAAAGATGGAGGGAAAACAGTAGAATGTAACTGGTTGCCAACAATATCGTCTGGATTCCCCACTAAAGCTGTATGACTGAAGGTAATTTCACAATTGCATAGCAATATTCTGTTTCTGTTAGCTGCAGCTCTTACTCTGTATTCATGTACAAAGATGTCTTGTGTGGGGCAGTGTGCCATGGCATTTCATTATGCCACCAGCCAGACTCATTCCCATATCAAAGAATATTACATCACCCATTTGACAAGTGAACTGGTCTCTTTGTAGTGACAGTTAAGGACTTTTCTTCCATGGTGCAAGAACATGACAGTGATGGCCAGAATGCAGCATCTGCTGAGAAATGCTATCAGTCCCTCGCATGGCAACCCTATCGAGTGTCTCCCTGGAACAGCCTTTTAAACCACAAGTATGAAAGACTGTAAGTGTTGATCATATTTGTTCTTCTTCATTATGATCTCAGTTGGCATGAAAGGGTACAGAAATAAATGGCATAATAGACTTTCTCAAGAACAAGATGAAGCACATGTCTGTTCTACAGATTCAAAGTGGTTAGACTGTTATGGCTCTCCTCCCTTCACTTCTTTGGTTATCCTGGAGATTAAGACCCAGATAGAGAACAGAAATTCATAGCACCCTCAGAAAGATACATTCTCCTGTATTTGTTGATGGTAATCAAAATGGTAGAGAGGGTTTAAAATCAGGTAAGTTCACATAAGATGCTGCCTGCTGGACACGGTGTTCACAGAGTGAGGCAGCTGCAAGAAGTTCCACAGGCTGGACTCTCTGGCCCTACTCTTACTGCCTGTTGCTGCTGGCACTGATTTGGGGTTCCATGTCAAGTCAAGCAATGTACTTGGGACTGCAGTGATCCTGTGGTAGACTAATTACTTTTAATGGACCCCATTGTTAAGTGTTGGTTGTCAGTGTTATTTCTTATATATTAATGTCCCATTTTATGAATAAGGTAGTTTATTTCTTGGAAATATATCATCCCAAGGTGTTTCCCCCCCCTTTTAAACAAAAAGGTAATGTTAAGTCGGCTACTTAACAAGAGTCAGAGAGTGATTTCAGCCAGTGATTCAGCTTTAATGAGCAACGCTTAACACAACCAGAACAGAACAACCAGAACAACTTGTGCATTGCAGCTGAGCTCCTTTTAAACTCTCCCGGGCTAATGTAGCCCCGCCCTACTGTACCTAACAACCAATAGGATTGTAAAGATAAAGTCCAATCACAGACGTTCCCTCTCAGGGAACTGGGTGTTAGGTGATTGGTCGGCTCTTCCTGGGCTACCAATAGGAATTGAGGAATTAGGATCCTTGCCCAGGACGAAGCTTTGCATGGTGTTCCAATGAGTGAGTTCACATACAGTTTACATTGAATTGAATACACCACAGGTAACTTGGAATTATTTTTTGGTTTTGTTTCCCTTTTTTAATGCTTTTTAATGAACAATAATCTGAACACACTATAGCAAGAATATGGGGGCCAACACTACTAAATATATGAAACAAATTTTTAGAGTTCATAGTATTTGGAGGGTTTGTTGCATCTCTTTTAATAAGAAGGATTACGTGTTTTCTATATAGAAACGTTTAAAGCACAGATTCTTAAAGCCTTGGCTTTTTATCTTTTGTCAATCTGATATCCTTTTCATCAAGCTCTTACAAATTCAGAAGTGAATGAGCTTCCAGTTATGAACTAGTTCTCTCTGAGTGCTAAAATTGAGTGGAAAAGTGAGTCTCAAAGGAACCTTTTGCTCTTTTTCTTCACCGTTCTGTTGAAGAATAAAGCTGATATAAATCTTTCTTAAAATCCTTACATTAAACCCTTCTAACCTCTAATGGCCAAGAAAAAGGATGAATCGAAAGAACTGCCTTTTATCAGCAATGTGGAATGAGGGTTTCCACAGTGTCATGTGACAAGAGATCATTGTTAAGGAACAAAACGGCCTTCTATATAATGAAGACTCAGTATCTTGTGCTACAGCTTTTGGAATGATGTATTACTTACACGCAAAGAGAGGCTTGATTGTCTGGATAGCTAATTCATTGCTTCTTTCAAGAAGATCTGTGACATCTTTGCCCCCCTGTGGAACAGCAGAAAATAAGTGAAACAAATGCATGTTATGTCTTGTTCTTGGTTGCACGCTTGGATTCCTACACAAGTAGTAGCAGTGCTCAAAAATGAATTTGCAAACTGTCAGTAACAGGGCATCTTTTGAAAGCCAGAGTTCTACATCCACTCCAGAATCTATCATGGGGATGGGAATAAACATGCAAAACACCTTTCTTTGTTAATTTATGTGACAATATTTACAGTGCTTCTTCAGTTAATTATTGCAAGATCGTGTGATCTTCTGTAGGAAGTAAATGGCTATGTGGCATTTGCTTCTGAGTTCACTTCTCCCAAGTTAGTCCTACATCTTAAAAAGTAGAAATAGGGAGGGTTTAAACCTGTCTGCATCTCAAATATACCCTCATTCTTGAATTATAACCTCTTAGTTTAGTCAAACCACATAATCTGTTGAAATAACTTCAGAGGCTCAAGAGGTGGAAGGGAATGTGGCAACATTTTCTCCCTCATCTCATAATGAGCACTCAAGTAAAAAAATAGTGTGGATGTTAATTTCTGATTATTAGCATTCCAGTTCTCAAAAGAAATGCTTGAGTACATGAATGATTTAAGATAGTTAGCAAAACTGTGTGGCTGGGACTCCTTGTTTGTGGAAGGCAGCAGTTATTTCTGAGTAATGTCCCTGATGAAGCAACATCTGAATCTAATTATAGAAAGGCAAATCTTGAAAAAAATACAGTGTATGCCACAAATAATGTGGCAAACAACCATCACATCTTCATTGGAACAAGCAGTAATAAAAAACAACCATAAAATATCCTTCTGTGTTGCACTGGTAGATGAAAGGGTTGCTTGATGTACACTCATAGTGCTCATGGCTAAATTACTTTACATTTAAGTACCACAAAAACAAAGGGCCTACTCCAGTGACTCCCTTTTGCTAAATAAGAAGTTTCCCCCCTATGGAAATGACACCACCTGTTGGAAGAAGACTGTGTCCTGACTTAGCAGAAAGCAGTTGTCGGTTCCAACCCAGTATCTGGGAGCCAAAGAACTCTTTTGAGTCTGAATCTGTCTTGCACTGTTGCACATACCCAGTGGGATGTTTTTGCATCTTAGTTTTCAACAGCAATCCCATTTTAAGTCTCTCCCCAGTTTCAGAAATGGCTTGTCATCTACGATGGCTGGTTCTAGTTGCTTTGGGGGAAGATGCACATCCAGTACTACCTGGTGGACAGGGAAATACTTACATGATTAATTGCATTCCAGACCCAAACCGTAAGGTTCAGCACTTGCCGATGTATGTGATAGAACAGGTGTTAGATATATCATAACATGCTATGGGGAGCTCTTGATCGTCTGTGGCTCTCTGCAATGCATGCCCTTCTTGGGTGACTCATGACTTCAGTCCACACAGTATAAAGTGTCTATAAAAGTGTTTTCATATGACATTGGTTTTTGCCATGGTTGGAACCAGTTACAACTACTCCAGAGACACACAGGAACATTACAGCTTCATGCCTGTGTATCAGTGAAGCAGCCATTCAGCAGCCTCTCAAGACCGTGTGTCATCTGTGGTAGAAGGAGCAGCTTGCTATTGGCATGGGATAATCCTGCTCTGCATCTTTCCATTGCAGGGAGGCAGTGCAAAGGGCCTGGGATCTTTTCCATTTCCTGATAGATCAGGAAGGGGGGAAAGACTTTCTTGAAATAATACCTTGGGAAGTGTTTCCAGACCCTTTTTAGAGGATTTTCAAGGCTTATATGAATACATACCCATACCCAAAAGCCAATTTAGAAATTCATTTGTACCTCAAAGATTAAAGTAAATAATGTGACTTATTGATATTACTGGAACATTATTCCGCTTACTTAAAAATATTTCTATTTTTATAGCCCGGATGTGGGATATCATGTTGTTGCAAACAAAGGATTTAGTTTTTCAGCAGCAGATGATACTTTTGTTTGTCAGAAGAAAAACCATTTCCAGATCACAGTCTACATTCGTGTTGTTGGAAATCCCAAATTTGTCAAAACCAATTTGGGACTGAAACCTATAGAAAGCTTTTACTTGAAGGCTTTTGGAATTAAGGCAAGTGAATCATGTTTTCATATTCCTAAGTAGTGACATGGTTAGTATCAGACATAAATGATTTTGTTACTCTCTCCATGGCAAAATTTATGGGGGCAATAATTAAACAACAGAAGAATAACACTAAGTAAGATATTATCTTATTTTATAATGTTATTTTTGGCTCAAGGTTATTGCTATATGAGCAGTACTAGATGATAGATAGATAGTTATATAGATAGATATATAGATAGATATATAGATAGATAGTTATATAGATAGATATATAGATAGATATATAGATAGATATATAGATAGATATATAGATAAATGTATAGCTAGGTATATAGATAGGTTGCTGTAGATTTTCCGGGATGTGTGGCCGTGGTCTTGGCATTGTAGAACCTGACGTTTTGCCAGTAACTGTGACTGGCATCCTCAGAGGTATAAACACAGAAAGATGGAATACTCTCTGTGTCAAGGTAATTTAGGACCTGCTTCACACAAAGCAGCTGTTGTGCCCTGAACCACAGACACATCCCATTACAATGGTTTGATGTAATGGTTTAACCATTGCCCCAATTCAAGGTAATTACAAGGAACAGTGACTTGCTCTTCTGATGAATTTCTCCTGTTCTCATGATCCTATACCACTAAGAAGGTTCCCTGGCCGCATGGCAAAGAAAAACCAGTTCTGCCATGTACTCTAGTGGATGTTACCCTCCCACGTTTCTCCTTGGCCTTCTAATCCGCAGTCAAAAGTCCAAATTATTTGGGTTACTATTTCTTTCCACCTTCAGTTATGGGAGTAGACAGACACAACACACAAATTGGGTTCATAACACTCTGGCCTGCCTTTACAGCACTCTGGACCGACCTTCACAAATGAACTGACAAATCGAGCATACAAGTGAAGGACCCTCAAGGACTTTTCTCTTCGCCCACTATTTCCTCTTCCCCTTCCCTGGAAGCCCCCATAGCCTCTATCTTTTTCCTGCTTCCTTCTGTCCTTCCCACCCAGCAGCCAGCCTACCTTTTTCTGTCCCCCCATCATCAGCTTTCCATTCTTCCGTACCTCTGGCAGCCTCTCTCTGGGAAAAGTTTTATTTATTTATTAAAATACTGTCAGGGGTCCACAGATGGAAGTGGAAGTGGTAGGAAAGCCCTGTTGAACAAGAGGAACTTCTTCTGTGGTCCTCAAGATTCCATTTGATGGGTTAATATATAATCTTTGAAGGACTCTGAGCCCTCTGTTTATATTGTGCCATTTTTATATATAATGTGGAGTTAGAATAGAGTACGAGACACAGTGTTTAGATTGGCTATGGGAGACTTCACTTCAGGTCCCTGTGCAACCTTGAAGCTTACTGTCTTTTGCCGAACCAGTTTCATAGGGTAGCTGTGATGATAAAATGGGATAATTCCTGTATAAGCTGTCCTAGACTTCAATGAGGAAATGTGGGATGCAAATGTAATAGGTGTTTGGTAGTACACTTTCATTGCTCCATGCTGCTCAGTTTCATCTGCCAGTCTAGTAAAATATAAACAATGGGTGGAATTTAGAGAGCTCCTTGTGCAAATGACAGGCAATTCTGATCATTGTTTCCTGCCAGTTTCTCCTTCCAGATGTAGGCTCCCACTTTGCATTCCACTGTGTTCCAGAGGAACACCTTTCTCAAACCTCAGAAGAGATCTGTGGGGTGGATTCAAGGGGCTGTAACAAGAAAGAGAAGGTAGGAATGTTCCATTATATCAGTCAATCTCCACTTGTGTCTTCAGAATCCCATCTGGTACGGTTTGGCATATCCCCAATAAACTATGAATGCCCTAAAGTTTGCATATACACTCTTCATCAGAAAGCACTCTAATAGGCTGATGTCCTCAGAAAGTTGCATTGTTTTTAATTATTCTTGAAAAGGTTCTTAAATTGTCACAATTCTCTTGCTTATTATTTCTTTATTGCAGATGGAAGCACCCAATCAAGTGATTGTAGTTGAACAATCTCAGTCTGACCGAACCAAAAGACCTTTCTATCTATTTAAGTAAGTGGCGGGGGGGGGGAGATACACACCCTATAATGTTCTTAACTAGTGTTATATTTGATCTAATATTCCATTCTTCTTTTAGAAAGCTAAGAGTGCCTTCCATAGGCCTCTTGTTAATTGCCAAACTAGACATTGCTCAGGACAAGGCCTCTTTAGCTCTGCCACTATGCTCCTTAACCAGCCATGTGGCCCCAATTTCCTCTTCACCAGCCAGCAAGCCATTTTATTTTGTTGTTAGTATAAGCTCATAAAATAGATTTTAGGCCTTCCACTAATTTGTGACTGAAAAGTAATTGAATCCTCCTCCATAGTGGTATGAAGAGATTGAGATAAAGTCTGTGACTGATGTCTGATCTAAAACATTCCTGTTAATGGCCATACGCCAAAGCAGAGTTTGCTTGCTAGATTTCTGCCAGTCCCTATGATGCTTGCTTCCTCAGAGTACAGATAACCCATAGAAATCTAATCACAGTCATATGTTATCAAGTAAACGTCTACAAGACAGCCCCATACAGAGAAGAATGTGTGTCATCAGCATTTCCCACTCTGTTGGGTAATACCATTGCAAATAGGTAGGGGAACCTTTGTTCTAGGTTTGGATAAGGGATGAGCATGAACTGGCTCATGAATTAAAGTTCGTAATGAATTTTGGCCAGTTCATGGTTTGCAAACTGAAGCTTGCAGCAGGTCAACCAACATGAACTTTTTACAAACTTTTTACAAAGTTTCAAGCAATTTGTGGTGGTTTGTGGTGGTTCATGAATGGATACATTCCCAGATAGTGTCCGGGTGTCCGGTCAATCAAAATGTTTACCAAACTTCAAAGAAATTGTGTGTGTGTGTGTGGGGGGGGACAGAATTCTCCAGCCTGTGCATTTGGTGTGTGTAGCTTGCAGGGAGTCCATTTTATACACTTTTAAACCTGTGCCTGACATTTCCCCCCCAAAGCACTTTCCTGGAGGCATGCTCGGGGGGGGGGGCTATAACTCAGACCTCCTAAATCCAATCTGCACATATCTTTGGAGGGAATGTAGAGGAGCATGGGGGGGGGGGTTCCCTGAGAGTTTGATGCCTCTAGCTTGCTTGGGGTCCTTTCTATACACTCCCGAATCTGCACCTGTCATTTCCCCAGAAAGCACTTTCCTGGGGGCACCTTCTTTAGGGGGCTGTAACTCAGACCCCATAAATCCAATCATCACCACGTTTGGGAGGACATTAATTCATAAGGTCGCCAGAAGTCGGAAGTGACTTGACAGGACTTAACTCACATATTTCAAACAAGAGCACAGTTTAACAAGTCCAGTTCTTTCTGTGTCTAGAGCTGCATTGACAACAGCTTCCTTTCACCCTATTCCTGCCCACATCAAATCCTGGAGTGGACTGGGGCAGTTTAAAATACTCACCTGGATTAAAAGGGAGCGGAGTTGTCAGATCACCACTGTTAGTACACTCTAATTTTCTCTAAGGAGAATGTCCATCCGCTCCAGTTCCTTGTTCCTGCGGCCTGATCAGTTGTCTTGGAGAGAAGTACAACAGCCATACCTTCTTCCTGATGCATGGGGAATCAATAGCTAGGTTTGGCTTTTGGCAATAAAACCAACATAGTTGCTTGGCAAATGGACTGAATGTTGTGTAGTGGGTTAGCCGCATGGAAGAACCGCTGAGGCACGCATAGTACACAGCACACTTTATTAGTACACAACACGCACACCTACCAACGGCCGAGCGGCCGCTTATATACATTCTGGGGAACCCCTGCGGAATCCCATTGGCGCATTCAAACCTCCTGCCAATGTCCCATTGGTTCCCTAGAGGCAGGGTGCAGGAGCCTAGACCTCATTGTTCTCTGGACTCAAGGTCCGCTGAATCGCGGGCGCCCAGTGGCGGTCTGCGGACATAACACTGAAATCTCCTTTTAGTGGGAACTACGTTTTTAAAAACAATAATTCTCTATGCCTTACATTTTGAGACCAACAGAGAAATCTAGTAAGGAATGCGTTTTACTCTTTTTATTTTCAGTTGTCTGTTTCTATGCTTTATTCAAACATATTTTGGGGGGGTCACATATAAAGGTTCTGCTTCAGGTTGTTCCCCTTTTAAAATCCACAAAATGTTGGACTTCAGTCTAAAATCAGTGAAGATCTGGCAAAGCTTTTTGCGGCCCCAGCACCAAGGGGAGGTTCAATGAGGGCAGAGACAGAGAGGGCGGCCATGGTGGCTCTTACCAGGGTGGAGGGGGGTGGGCCAGTGATGAGTACGGGAAGCTGGGGCCCACCTAGCCCAACTCCAGAACTTAAGGAGTCAGGGATGGTATTTTTAACATTAATAGTTTCAGGTCCTATGTGACTGCATTTCTGTGTAACCCATGGGTGGTGACAGGATTATCTTTGAGGATTTAGTGTGCCAGCATTTTTACTAGTGATCTCAAACTCTCTCTCTTGGGCAGCCTCTTTGTGTGGTAAATGGAGGCCACAGTAGGGTTGCCTGAGACTCAGCCATAATTAATTATTTAGCCAGACATTTATATCTCACCTATCCCCAAGGACTCAAGGTGACTTACAGAAGCAACATGTTGTTACAAAGACAAAATAAAATCAGCATCCATATCCAACAGCATACATAAGATGGTGCCCATCAATCTTCTGCAACATCTGCCAGAAAACTTTCTGAAGTAGGATACCTTTATGTGCCTTCTGTAACTCTTCTGTCTGACTGTTCCAGAGCAATGGCCCTGTTATGAAAACCACTCTTGCTTGACCTAAAGAGCGACTTGAGAGAAGGCACAGCAAGGAATTAGCTAGCACATGAAAGTAGTTTTGGAGTCCCAGGACATGAAGAGTATTAAAGGTGTTAAATCGACTACTTAACAAAGAGTCAGAGAGTGATTTCAGCAAGTGATTCAGCTTTAATAAACAATACTTAACACAACCAGAACAGAACAACCAGAACAACCTTAGCACTGCAGTTGTGCTTCTTTTAAACTCTCCTGGCTAATGTAGCCACTCCCACTGTACATAACAACCAATAGGATTGTAAGAATAATGTCCAATCACAGACGTTCCCTCTCAGGGAACTGGATGGTAGGTGATTGGTCGGCTCTTCCTGGGCTACCAATAGGCATTGAGTGATTAGGATCCTTGCCCAGGACGAAGCTTTACATGGTGTTTCAATGAGTGAGGTCATACACAGTTTTCATTGAATTGAATTGAATACACCACAAAAGGGAAAAACCAACACCTTGAATTGGGCCTGGAAGTGAATAGGTCGTCAGTGCAACTGTTGAAGCGCAGGTGTTATCTGTTCTAGTCATCCAGCCCCAGACAGAAGCCCCAGACAGAAGCAACTGTTGAAGCGCAGGTGTTATCTGTTCTAGTCATCCAGCCCCAGACAGAAGCCTGATTGCCTACCTTTGTACCAATTATAGTTTCTGGGTCATCTTTGAGGACAGCCCTGTGCACTGTTTGTTACACTAGTCCAACCTGAAGGTCATGGCAGTGTGTGTAGTGAGGTTGGCAGAGCTGAAGTAAGGTGATAATCTTACAAGTACTATGTAATTGAAAGAAGGTGCTCCTAGCAACAGTTAACAGTTAATAAGTCGGGCTCCAAGAACACCACTCCCACACTCTTCGCTTGATCTGTTAGAAAAAGTATAATTCCATCCAAAGCTGACAGATCAGTCCCTTCCAACATCCCTGCTTTCCCAACTAGCATCCTTTAGATCATATCTGAATTCAGTTTCAGCTTGTTCCCTTCAGTCTTGTGACCATAGTTATCAAGGAACTATTATTTTTATTCACTGTTCAATATCTTGATGCTGATGTTTATTAGCAGCTTCAGTATGGTTTCCTAGAATGTCCTCTGTCTCTGCCTTTGTTTAGAATAGAGGTGTCAAACTAATTTGCTACAAGAGCCAGATCTGACATAAGTATGACCTTTTCCAGCTGGGCCATGTGTGCCATGAAACATAATGCCAGGCACAAGAGATATAAACTTTATAAAGGACAGCAACTGCTAAGCTCCAAATTGGTTTGTCCTCACCCTAAGGCCCCATGACCAGGAGTGGGGACAGAGGAAAACCCACATGGGCGGACTGGAGAGCCAGTGGTGCAGCACTGGGCAGATGTTCCGAAGCTGCCTGGAGGGGGGGGTAAACCCCTTCCCCAGCCCACTCCTGCCACCAATGCTGTGAGCCCAGGCCTCAGGGTAAAAACATGAAGTGGCACAGTGTTGTGAGCTCCCTCCTACCCCCAACCATCATGGAAGGGGACTAGGAAGTTGAACTAACACCCCATCACCACCTACAGAAGCGGGGAGGAGGTGGCCCAGGTCCGAGGCTACGTGCATGGCAGGACCCAGGCCAAGCAAAGCCTGATGAGCTGGAGATGTCCATGCTGCAGCCGCCACCTCTGACCGAGGCCACCAAGTGATCAATGGCAGGGCAATCTTTGTGACCGCCTCTCCCAGTATGCCCCTCGAAGAGCGTTATGCTCAGGAAATAAGAACTTGCTGGTGGTCCCTGGCCTGAGAGAGGTCCAGCTGTCCTTGACCAGGGCCAGGGCCTTCTCAGCCCTGGCCCCTGCCTGGTGTAATGCTCTGCCGGAAGACATCTGTGCCCTGCGGGAGCTGTTATCTTTCCACAGGGCGTGTAAGGCAGAGATGTTCCGCCGGGCTTTTGGCTGAGGACAGCGACAGGACTACTTCTGGCACTCTTATGTGGTTCTTCATTCCTCATAGCCCCTCCCCCAGGGAGGCTGGGGAGTTAGGATTTTCTGCCATCTTAAGTATTGTATATATACTGTTTTTATTTATTGAACTGTTTTTAATGTAGTTGTATGTGACTATATAGTATTGTTGTAAGCCGCCCTGAACCCTACCTGTGGGGAAGGGTGGCCTAGTAAATCAAATTTAATAAATAAATACAAATGCTGGGAGTTCAAGCCAGAGATCATTGGCAAGCTGCACCACCCCCATGCAGCAGCAGCTATCCCAGGCCAAAGGCCACCAGATCATCTAATGGGGCTGCACATGTGGCAGAGGCCCTAGGCCACACAGTATAACTGGAGATCATTGGCATGGCCCCCCCTCCCGAGGTGGCAGCCGCTTATGGCTGAAGGCCGCTGGGTGGTTCATGGGGGAAGGAGGCCTGGCCATCCAGTTGTGTGCTCAGTGGTAGGACTAGGCTCCCCAATGTGTGGAATAAACTTCCTAAGAATGCCCCCCCCAATGGGCCAAAGCACAGCCGCTGCATGGGGGCACGCGAATATGACAGTACTGCTGGCCGCCAGCAGGCCCCAGCAAAGAATCATCTCAACCCCCATGTGCAAACACGGATCCCTGTGGCCATCTGGGACAGCATCCCCAGAACTGCAGACTGAGCAGAGAGGTGCACAATCTTGGAACCTCGAGCCAGCATGAATGTACCCAGGGCTTTTTTTGTAGAAAAAGCCCAGCAGGAACTCATTAGCATAATAGGCCACACCCAACAGCAGACACTCATTAGCCTATTAGGCCACACCCCTGACAGCACAGCTCATTAGCATATTAGGCCACACACCCATGTTACCAGAAATGTGGTGATCCAGCCACGCCCACCTTTTGCTTCTTATTCTGTTGACCTTGTTTGTGGTCAAAACCCAGGGCTTTTTTTGTAGCAGGAACTCCTTTGCATGTTAGGCCACACACCCCTAATGTAGCCAATTCTAATGCGTTTCTGCTGTTGGGTGTGGCCTATTGTGCTAATGAGTTCCTGCTGGGCGTGGCCAACTCGGGAGCCAGCTGGAACTCCATTTCTGTGCGTTCCTGCCCAAAAAAGCCCTGAATGCACCTATGGTGGCTTCCAACTTACCAGTGAGGCTGCCACTGAAGCTAAAGGGTTCTGCTTGACTGCTGCAAACAAGGTTGTTCTGCTGTGCTGAAGCCATAATCTGAGTGGCTCCGCCCATTCACCTCCCCCAGCAGCTTCTTGTTCCCTCTCTTGCACCAGTTGCTTGTGGACTGGATAAGAGCCCTGAACTGGCCTGTTCTGGCCGCTGGGCCTTATGTTTGACACCCCTGGTATCATTAAGGTGTATCATTAAGGTGAAGAGGTGCCTTGGTCACATTTCCAAAATGAAGTATGGGAAGAGGGAAACAACTCTTTTTCTTGGGAGCCTTTGAGGAGAGGGATCTCTCACCTGGGTGATGCAGACCCAAGGGTTAAAGTGTCCAAAATGTAGAATCACTAGCACTGCAGGGCCCATAACTGAGGACTAAAACATGTCATGTTTAAGAGGCCATACAGTATTACTAGAACATTAACAATTTACTACATTTTTTGTGCTTTAGAGGCATCTCATAATCTAAGTCCCTAAACTCTGATTTACTTTGTTTGTACATAAATCCAGCTCGGTCAAGGGCTCAACAGAATGTTTACCAAATGACCGCTCACAATTTACATTTCACCCTTGATCATTAGTATAATATGATATTACCTTACAGTAATCTTGACATACATTACCACAATGCTGTGTGGAAACCGTTGAACATTTGAGAGATGCTACAGCAATTAGAGAAGGAGGGGGCGACAGAGTCTTCTATTATTTGATTTCAAGGTGAACAAGCCCAAATTTGAAAAATTAATAGAAGTGGTAAACTGTTCTGTCTATCCTAGGGAGTCTGAATATTTGCCTCAGTTAAGGACAACATATTGGGCATCTCGTGGATAAGATAAGAATTTGCTGTACTGCTTTTCACTTTTGTATTACAGAGTTGATCTGCCAGAAGACCAGGTCACCAAAGTAACACTGGCAAGGCTGCACTTTAGTGAAACAACAGCAAATAATATGAGAAAGAAAGGGAAACCTAACCCTGATCAAAGGTAATATTTTTGATGGGATATATGTCACATGTTGCCCCTAATCTTTACATACATTTAAAGCTTTAAACCCTTCCCCTTGCTCTGACTTGCATAGCCCAGGCTAGCCTGATCTCATCAGATTGTGGAAGCTAAGCAGGGACAGCCCCCTGGTCCGTATTTGGTTGGGAGATCACCAAGGAATACCAGGTTGCTACACAGAGGCAGGCAATGGAAAACCAGCTCTGAACTTCTCTTGCCTTGAAAGCCATAAGGAGCCCCAAAAGTCAGCTGCAACTTGACAGCAAAACAAACAAACAAACAAAAAAACCCTTAATCTCCTTTGTCATCTTCCCAGTTCTCTTTCTCGGTTCCACAGAAGTTCATCTGCACCATTTATTAAAATGTAAGGAAAGGCATGGGATCAGGGATGGATTGGGATAAGGGAGGCAACCCTTGGGAGACAGGTTTGTGGGGGATAGTCTGTGTCACATTCAGTGCTAAGCCTAGCACTGTTGTTCTACCTGGGGTTTCCAGGATACACAAATACAATGACAACATGTACACAAAAGAGCAAGGTCTACAAATCAGTACAGAGTTGGATATCCAAAGGTCCAGTCCAAGAGTCAGGGTAGGAGGGTCAAGAGTCTAGAGGTCTAGTTCCAAGGCTTGGGAACAGGTCAGGATTCAGGAGTCTGGGTCCCAGGTTTCAGGAACAAGCACAGGTTACCAGAGACAAGGAACAAGGCAGCAGGGTCAAGGCAGAGCTCTGTTCACTAAACAGTTCAACACAGAGAAGAGTAACAAGCAACAAGCACACCAAGCCTCGCTCAGTGTGTTCTTTTATCTGCACCTTTTGCTGACTCATCCTGAGGACCAGGTTTCGCTCATTACAGTCATGTTCACCTTCCTACAGGTGTGGGTCTTTTACTGTTTCCCTATCAGTCTGTCACTCCTGGTTCTGCAAGGACTCAACTCCAGGAACTAATGCTGACCGTTGCTGAGCAGCCAAGTGGGTGCTCCTTTGTCTCTCCTGAGCTGCCAAGTGCTCTCTTCTTCTACACTCTACTGGCTCAGGAGAGGATGGGGGTGGGGTGGGGAAAGAGCCAGCCTCCATGGCTTCTCTTTCTCCTGGAAGATCAAGCAGCCCGGCCATGATTGGGAAGCATTCTTGCTTTTAGATCTGACAGCAGCATTCAACACGGTTGACTATTATCTGTTGACCTTGCCGATGTTGGGATATGGGGGACTGCTTTACAGTGGCTTTCCTCCTTTCTCCATGGTTGGGGACAGAGGGTGACACTAGGGGAGAGGACGTCCTCACATTACCCACTTGAATGTGGAGTGCCGCAGGGGGCAATCCTCACTCCGATGTTATTTAACATTTACATGTGCCCCCTTGCCCAGTTTGGGCTGGGTTGTCACCAATATGAAGATGACACCCAGCTCTATCTGTTGATGGAGAGACGGATGCTACACCAGACATTTTGGATAGAGGCCATTGCTGGATGGTTGTAGCAGAGCCGGCTGAAGTTGAATCCAACAAAGACAGAGGTCCTGTACCTCGGTCATGGGGGACTGGGGTCAAGAATCAGGCTCCCAGTCTTCGGTGGGGCAACGTTGGTGCCAGCGCCATGGGTAAGGAGTCTCACTTACTATGGAAGCCCAGGTCACTTTGACTGCCAGATCGGCCATTTATCATCTTCAGCTGGTCAGGCAGCCGGTTCCCTATCTTACTCCTCAGGACTTAGCTACAGTGATCCATGCAGTGATCACTGCCAGACTGGATTATTGTAACTTGCTTTACGTGGGACTACCCTTGGGCCTGATCCAGAAATTGCAGCTAGTGCAGAATGTGGCAACATGCTTACTGATGGTGACGCCTTTGTGGGCACGCATTCAGTCGATGTTGCACCAACTGCACTGGCTGTCAATCAAATACCAGATCAGGTTCAAGATTATGGTTTTGATCTTTAAAGCCCTATGCAGCCTGGGACCATCATACCTGCGGGACTGCCTCTCCCCATATGAGCCCCAGAGAGCTTTACACTCTTCCAATCAGACTTCCTGGTGATCCCTGGCCCAAGGGATGTCTGCTTAGCCTCAACCAGAGCAAGGGCTTTTTTGGCCCTTGCCCCAACCTGGTGGAACATGCTCGCACCCGAGATCAGGGCCCTGAGGGACCTGCTGTTCCACCAGGTTTTTGGTTGAGGAGGCAGACATCCAGCCATTCTGGCCTCCCCTGTTCATGGCCCCTACTCAGTTCCATGCTACTTTAGATAACACTACTTGGGCACTGGAGCTTTTTATTCACCTGATATGAGGCATGGGTTCTTTTTTGTTATTATTTGTTGTGCCATCTGTTGTTTTATTGGCTTTATCACTTTTATTATTTTATTAATCTTTTGTTGCAAGCCGACCTGAGCCCACTCATGGGACAGGGCGGGGTATAAATAAATAGACAGATGATGATGCTTATGCTTCCCCCGTTGGGTCTGCTGTTGGATCCAGCTGCTCAGGTGGGGATTCTGTCGATGTGGGACCTGATTCTTCAGATTCCTCCTCATCCGAGGAGGTGGCAGCTGGCTGGCCCATGACAGTCTACTCAACTGTCCACTCAATGACTGAAACAAATGAAAGATAAGAGTTCCGATAATACTGCTTTAACACTAGTCCACATGATGTGGATATACTGTTCAATTTCTTGATATTAGTACATTTCAGTTATTCTTAAAATTGGAAAAGGTTTTATAAATTTTGAGGAAACAGCTTCCCTTATCTTTGCAGGTGTCTATATGTGTTCACACACAGATTGACAGTGTGCAAGTTTAGTAATTTGTATGATGGTCAAATGATGCACATGAATTGTGCATCAAAGTTGTGAAATGGGCTGGAAAAGCAGCAAAAAATCAAAAAGTAGGCCATATGGGGGAGGGCTTAGAAGATGCTCCATTCCTGGGGCTCCATTTGATCCAGGGCTGGCCATATATGGTGCTGCCCCAGTGTCGTGCAGTGGTTAGAGTGCTGAACTAGGATCTGGGAGACCGAGGTTCAAATCCCTACTAAGCCACAGAAGTTCACTGTGTAATCCTGGGCCAGTCAGACACTCTTGGCCTAACCTACCTGATGCTGATGGCAAGGAGAAGGCTCCAGTGGGGACAATGCCAGCAAGGTAAGTCTGGGCTGGATTCCTCTCGCCCCTCCCTTTCTGCTCCTGCTGCTGGGGAAGGAGGAGAAATACAAAAATAATGGTCCCAAATTTTGGGGACCCCACAAAATCCTGAACAAGTAACAACATTTGGAAAAAAACCCAGGGTAATGAAAATAATGCCTTACCTGTGATCTGAATCTGAAATCATTAGAAATTTTTTCGACGTGTCCATCCCCAAGGTCACCCAGCTGGCTGCATGTGGAATAGTGGGGAAATCAAACCCAGTTCTCCAGTTTAGAGTCCACTGCTCTTAACCACTACACCAAACTGGCTTTATCCACTTTAACCACTACACCAAACTGGCTTTTAAATACGTCTGGGATAATGTTCTAACTTTAAAATAAATTGATTTAGATACTTCAAGTTGGTGGTTGGATTATACGCCGTCAGTCAAGACCAGTCGTATTTGGTGACTGCTCATGTCTCTGAAAAGATCATTGTCAGGGTAGGTCCAAGCGAGTATCATTTGAGCTTAACGAAATGAAAGAACCTGAGCCAGTGAGGGGCTGGTGGAACACTGTAGCTAAGGAAAGAAGTTGGAATCTGGGAAAGTTCTGGTTCAAATCTTATCCTGGCCACAGACAAGCCAGCCCCAGTCTCCCATCTGCAGTATGGGGATAACAAAGCAGACTTACTTCATGGGGTTGTTGTGAGGATTACTCAAATAATGCACATGCATTACAAATGTGCTATTAAATGAATTCAAAATATTAACAAAAAGATGCCCTTCATGAAGCCAGTTCAGAGTGATAGGTTTCTACATTCCCAACAAACTTTGTATCCCGAAAAGATATAATTGGATTTGGGATTTATGTAGTTGTTATATATATATATAGCATATTGCCGAAATCCCCATTCCGCCATGAAGCTCCGGAGATGACCACTATCCCTCAGCCTAACATATGCCCCACAGGGCTGTTCTGAGGATGAAATGGGTTAAGCCATGTATAATGTCCTGAGACCCCTGGACAAAATGGTCATAACAAATTGAAATGTCTTTGTTCTTTTCTATTTCTGCCATGAATAAAATCTCGATAGATAAACAATCGGAAGGTACACAGTAAAGATATCTTCAAACCAAAAAACTGTGTAACAATGAATATAATAAAACGAAATATAACATGTTATTTTTCATTTTATTATATTCATTGTTGCACAGTTTTCCAGTTTATGAATAAAATCTCGGCAAGATCTGTTTTACCCCAGGTGGTGCAGCAAAAACCAGCAAGCTTTGTAAGGGCAAAACTCCTCGTGCTCTGCTTTGCTTACAATTCTGGGAAAGATTAGACCTCTACCCACTGAGTTGTGGTTAACAGGCATATCAGATCATGCTCCAATTGTAGTGAGCTTGGCTCTGTGTGCCACAGATGGCAGAGCCTGGTTTAAAAAAAAGAAGAGGTAGGCAAGTAGCTCCTTGAATAAATGCTGACTTGTTGGGATGTTGCTTTGCTTAGATTCAAATTGGAATTTCATATTGATTGCTCTTCCATTTAAAATAAATTTGGATATATTGCTGCACCTGCATACGGCGAAGCTGCTTGCCTCTGATCTATTCAGTTTGCAGTAGAGATGTCTAAATATTACCATTGCAGGGTTCAAACTTTATGTTTGCTAGAGAGAGAGAGAGAAAAAAAACACCTTCCCTTCCATGTACCTATTCACTGACATGGCTGCAGCTGTGGCAGGGTGAGAGGTTTCCCCTCTTCCCTCTTTCTCTCTCTGTCTTTCCTGGTACCTTGAATTGTGTGTATATATACCAGTCACACCGCATTATTTATTAGTCCCTATCCAAAGAAATTAGTGGTGGGCAGAATTGGGCCTGGCATTATTTTCTTGGTGCACCCTGTCTGGAAAAAAACCAGGAAAACTGGAAAAATTCTCCCAGAGGCCAATTTCAAGTTGCAGAATTAGACTCAGAAAAGACCAAATTGTTCCATTGCTAATTTGGATGGGAGTTACCAAATGGCCTGGTGTGACAGGTCTTATTCTGTACTCATCCCACTTCCCTGAGGGTGAGAAATTCCAAATGCCTTCCTTTGATGGAGAGACTGCTGGATGCTCATGGTGTTTTATTTACAATACACAAACAGAGCACATTGGGAGCAGGCAGCAAGTCCCAAACTCCATGTCACTTCCCCAGAGAAAGCCCCTGCATCCTTAGGCGCTTTGCTTCCAGCCGATTCACACTTCTCTGGGCCAACCTGATGAGAGAGTGGGAGATCTGTGAGCAGATCTGTGAGGCATTTTTCCCTTCATAAATAGCTGCCAGTGGGAGGCCCCAGTCTGGATAGAAACCATAGTACATGGGAGAAAACATACTGTGCCATTTTCCCACTCTTGTTCTTTAGTGTGTCCCATAAGCTCAGAAGAGGTAATGTAGCACGTTCAGGTTCCCCTTTGTGAAGTTATTTTATTAAGCTGTGACTTTTATTGCTGTAAAAGAAGCACACAAATGCATTTCCTAGGAAAGATTTGTCTGCCCTATCTCTGTCTCCAGCCTTTCCATTTGCACGCTTCTAACTTAAAACGTTTTCAGGCCTCAAACCCTGCACAGTTTGAGAATGACAGTGATCTGCTCTGGCAGCGAGGACATGTTCCAGACTCTGTTGTTTGTCATGGTCGAGTAGGAATTAACACAGATGCACCAGATGAAGCCCTGGTTGTCTGTGGAAACATGAAAGTGATGGGGACAGTCATGCATCCATCTGACCGTCGAGCCAAACAGAACATTCAAGAGGTGAGTGCAGCAGAGCAATGAGGGTTTGTTAAATCTGCACTGGAGTCACACAAAGGCACATGAACATTGTGATAAAGACGACTGTGAGGCAGGATTGTGAAGTTGTGACATTGCAAAGGAGGCAGTTCAGACTAGCCTGATCTCATCAGATCTCAGAAGTTGAGCAGGTTCAGCCTTGGTTAGTATTTGGATGGGAGACCACCAAGGAAGTCCAGGGTTACTATGCAGAGGCAGGCAATGGCAAACCACCTCTGAAAGTGTCTTCCCCTGAAAACCCTCTAGGGTCACGTAAGTGAGCTGTGACTCGATGGTAAAGCAAGGTTACAAGCCGGTGAAACTAGCATGGTATATAAGTGGAAGGTTACATAAGTGCATTATTATTGGGCTGAAAGTAAGCATACAATTCTTGTAAATGAATAAAATAAGTGCAATGATGTAGATTTCCTGGGAGAAATGCTGCCTCTAACTGCTTATTTCATTTGAAGAATGCCTACTGGATTATTCTTGAAGAATAAAATTAAGGTAGATGAACTAATGGCCAAAGAGGAGAACGTGTGTGAGACAGAGAATAACCAAACCCCCCCCAGAGAAAATGAAAATAGGAATAAGTATGTAACTCTTTTTTAATGAACTATAGAGAACCAAGTAGGCAGTAGGCTAACCTCCAGGTGGGCCCTAGAGTTCTCCTGGAATGACAACTGATCTCCAGGCTACAGAGATCAGTTCTCCTGTAGAAAATGGCTCCTTTGGAGCCTCCTCTATTGCATTATACCTTGCTGAGGTCCCTCCCCTACATCCCCAAAGCTTCAGGAATTTCCCAACCCAGAGTTGGCAACCCTAGAGCTACAGGGGAGTGCTCAGGGATGAAATAGCAGAATGCATATATATATTCCTCTTATTTATCTAGAAAAGTTATATTCTGCCTCTCCAGAGACATGCTCTGGAAGGTTAGGTAGTAGAGGGACTGCAGGTGGGGAACACATTTTAGAAAGGTCCACTAGGTTAAAAAAAACACTTGCAGTGAGAAAACCAGCACAGGAAGCAAAGAGAAGAGGCCATAGACTTTTTCTCTCTGCTCTGCTAGTTTTCTATTTGTGTGGAATTTATTTAGTCCAGTGATAATTCAAAGTAGGCGTTGACTACCTGCAGTCAGGTGTAGCCCATCCTTCCACCTTAGGGCTTGGCCACCTTGTTTCCATCTCATTGTCCTGCATGTGCAATAGAGGTTCTCTTCAGTCTGAAGTGACCCTTTCCATGTCTCTTTTCCCCAGCCCTTCTTAAAAGCAACTCCAGGGAGGCACAGTCTTGAGTGGTGGACTTGTTCATGGATGGATCTTGTATTTTCCCCCTTTCAGATGTGTGTATGGGCTCTTGAGAGGAAAAACAGCTAAAAGGGATATATTAAGCTGTCCCTCTTTCACGCCAGATTGTAGCTTTCAGAGGCAGTTTCTGCCTTTGTACCCAACTAGGAGCTGGCACAGAGTTGTAGCTAAAAGAATGCACTGTTTAAACTCTGAAGCTATCTGGTTCATATCTCACCTCTGGTACGGCACCTTCAGAAGCCCAATATGATGATGATGATAACAGCCTAATTTACAGGGATGTTGTAAGGATTATAACATAACGATGTGTGAGGATGGATATATTTATCAATAAGGTATGTATTTGCCACTTTTAAAAGAAGTAGACAGCCCATTTAGCCACAAAGGGCAAAACAGAGGGCTTATCCAGCATTTGATTTGCTGGCATTTGTCTCTAAGGCGACTGGTGAAGGTGGACTTTCTACTCTTAAAATTTTTCCTTCACCCCAAAATCCAAGAAAGAATATGAGTTAAAATGAAAAAAGTTAATGAGAAAGACAGATAATGCCAGCCATGCCAAGTATCAAAAGCATGTACCTACTTGAAATCCTTGATATGACTTGAATGTATTAACTATATTAATATGCAACACCTTGTCTTTGGTGAATTAGGTTGATACACATCAGCAGCTGAGAAGAATAGCACAGATGAGGCTGGTTGAATATGACTACAAGCCTGAGTTTGCATCTGTTATGGGAATTAATCAGACCCATGAAACAGGTATCCAGTCAACACATCTAGTTGGTCAGGCAGAAAGTACCCCAAAACACCTTGGCCACTTATCCTATAGCAATACCCTGATGTTGCCTTGCTTTTCAAATACACATTGGCCCCAGTCACATGGGAGGATTTGCCTCGCAAGAGGGATGGATCGGGGGTGCATCAAGCGGGCGCGATCACACCGCAACATCTGGGAAGCGTCACACACCCATCCCCGATCCGTCCCTTCGGCTCGAAAACACACATTTAAAAGGTACTAGCAACAGAGCACTACCTTCTGGATGATGCATAGCAACTCCAGGCTTCTGGTCGGGGAAGCACTGGTAGCCTGTCGCAGCCAGCGCCGTTCCCCGTCCCACGCATGCGCACAACTGCGCTACTGCCGGTTTGCTGCACAACGTGTGATCGGCTGCCGGAGGACAGAGCCGCAGGGGCATGTCGGATCGCGCTCCCATGGTTCTTTTTGCTCTGGCTCTAATTTGCCTCCCTCTGGCAGTGGATCATCCTGCTCGTGTGACCGGGACCATTGTAAGATCCATGAGATGCAGGGTGGGCAATAGGGGGGAGGAATCCACCCTAAGGTCACAACCAGACATTATGAGTTGATGAAGATAATTTACACTGGTGAAGAGCAGCCTTCGCTTCACTCTTGGTCAGTTGTCAAATGCCCACCAGCACCCTAGATGAAGACGAGGGAGGAAAATTCTAATTGCTTTATTCTTGTGCTGTCCCCATCTATCACCAGCCAAGGCAGCCAGCTGAGCAGGTCCCTCTACTCATGGGGGAAATGTGTATCATCAGCAGATAAGGAAGCAGCACACTCCATTTTGCTCCTCTGAAGAGAAGGCAGCTGCCACCATAGTTGGGGCAGGGATGGCCACTGTGGCCACCAACTCCCAGAGTGAACAGCAGTGGCAGCTGCAGATGGGATGTGTGAAGAGCCATAGCAGAGATGGAGTCCCACCAGAAGGCATTTTGCCAAGGGCTCTCAACACCTGTGTACAACCTGAGAGAGAGACAGACTGGACAGATTGTAGTCTGTGGGCATTTGAGGTTGTTTTTGATAACATGGTTGTCTTTATTTTCATAAGCAGGAGTGATAGCCCAGGAAGTTCAAGAACTTCTGCCAAGAGCCATACGAGAAGCTGGAGACGTTGTATGTGAAAATGGAGAGAGAGTTGATAATTTCCTCATGGTTGACAAGGTACTCTAGAGCACTGCAAGAAAGATTTTTTTAAACAAGAAAGTGTCCTGAAACCAAAGTTCATGACCGAAAACCCATACAGTTTTCAGTGTTTGCCTTCAAGAGATGGGAAATTTGGGTCTTTGTTTTGGTTCTTCATAAAACAATGGGTAGCAATAGAAAAACAAAATCCAAACCAGATGAGTTTATTCATGGCAGGTTTAGAAGGATTGTGGCCATCTGTAGCTGGATGAGTTCTGTGGCCTTGTTCAGAGATGGAGAAGAATGAGTTGGCACAGCTCAGTGGCAGTGAGGTGGACTGAACCAATTCAGACTGCTCGTGTGATAGATTCTAGCTTTGAATATTCATTCAGATTAAAAGATAAAATAAAATAAGCTCCACGTCAGCAGAAAACTAGCACAGCGGATGGGAGGGAGAAATGGTCTACCATCTCTCTGCATGCTGTGCTGATTTTTCTGTTGGCAGGGGGTTTTTAAGATAGGAGAATATTCCCAAGCATGCTCCTTTATGATCTTCCACCTGACCTAGGGCGGCCAACCCATGGCTGGTAACCAGCAGGAGATGGGGAGGTGAGGACTTATGTTGTCATAATGATGTCACTTCTGGCACAGCCTGTAAGTGACATGACCATATGGGGAGCTCTCTAGCATTCATCTATTACAGGGCATTCTAGCATTCTGAGTGAATGCTAGAGTGGCTCCTTTACGCAGTGATGTAACTTGGAGGTTGTGCTGGAAGTGAAGTCATGACATCGGGTTCCGCTCACCCTCCCATTTCACTTGGCATTTCTGCCCAGCTGCATGGTGGTGGGCAGAGGCAGTGGGTAGTCATGCCACTTGCAATCTGATGCCAGTCTCTGCCACTTCGTTCCAGCCACCTCATTATCTTGTAGTTGTGAACCAGACCTTTGAGTCTGTGTTCTTGGCATGAAGTATTAGATTTCCCAGTGATTTCAACAACGTCCGTGGTGAATTTTAATTAAATGGTAGGCCTTATGCTTATTGAAGAAAAGCCATTTGCTTCAGTCTTTTCAAGATAAGCGAAAGTTTTTATTAATCTCCTAGGTTTTATGGAATATGGGGATTCTGGCATAAGGGAGATGGGATAACCCTGTTTCTGTCAGTTCAGATAAAATTTACTGTAGTTTTCTGTCCATTAGGGTTTTTTTTAATTAAATGCTAATATGAGTTTTCACCATAGCCAAGGGATTTGAGTAGGATCTTTTAGGATTTAGGGGGACCTGCATTCTTCTTTTCAAACAAATTATAATTTTTTGAGGAACTGGGCAAGCTCTGAAGCCGAATTGGAAGAGGCCGCAGATTCATATCACTTTCATGTGGCCCATGAGGCCATAAAATCAGTTTCATGGCTTCAAGCACATGAGTGCCTTAAAGATACTCTTCAGTAAACAAATTGTAGACTATCTTGTGTTGGTTAATTGTGTGGTCTTGTCACACTGTGTAGGTTTTGTTTATGCAGCAGCGTGACCTATGCAGCTGCACGCTATGGGCATCATTGGATCAAACAGAAAATCTCTAACATTGGCAGTGGTGTTCTGTGTGGCTTAAACATACGGCAGCAGTTTAGCAGCGTATGAAACAATAGCAATGTTATGCAAAGTCTAAATGGGAGCTTTCATATTTTGCAGTAGTGTGGGAAGGCAGTTTTATAAAATGCACCATAATAAAAATTATGATGATATGGGGGCCTTTTCATCTGCTCATGCCCAACCATGCAGGAATAATAGAGAAAATACATATATTTTTACACTAGTGAAGCAGAATGAAGTCAAATTAGTGACAGAGCATCTTGAACCAGATATCAGCCTGTTCATACAACCCAAGCATCTAAAAAGAGAACCAACATCCTGTGTTGGCTTGCCATTTGCCCTAGAGCAGCAAGCAAACTCTCACCCCCAGGCTCCACACGCTGCTGGGGGTCTTCACGCCAGCAGGAGCAGGGAGCAACGTTGCATGATGTTGCGACATCATGATGTCACTTCACATTTGTACATGGAAGCAACATCACACCGCTCTAGGAATTTGCCCATTGGTATGTTAAAAATGTGCAACTATGCTCCCTGGCCTCAAAATACTCCACTGATTGTCAGTGCTTGGCTGGCAACACCAAAATTCCTATGAGAAAAACCCCAGTTCATATGTCACTGTGAACTGCATCTGAGGCTTGCGTACAGGTGTCATGATAAAACCGATTTGCATGTCTGTGGCCCAGCAGCTGCAAGTGTGTGTGGGGTGCCATTCAACAAGCTGCAGTTTATTAATTCAGACATCACAACAAATCACTATTAGTACAAACTGTAGGTGGCTGCCTGGGATGGGAAAGGAAGAGACTCCTGCCACCTTGGCCTGCAGACTGTTACCTTTTCTGATTTTTGCTTCAGTATGGGTGTTTTTGGTGGTTGTGCAGGTGCAACTCTAGAGCAGTTGCTGCTCTAAAGATTTTTAGCAATTGTGGAAACAAACCTTTGAGGTCTGAGTAATATTGAGAAAGGACTCGGTACCAGCTTCAGTTTTGTAGTAATTGGGCCATAAATAATAGATGTCTTGATGTATTTGGGTTTGGGGTGATTATTATATAATCATTTGTGATTAAACTTTGAAAGCTGCTTTGATTCCTGTGATCCATGGGGAAAGTGGCATATAAACATTTTCAATAATTAAGCAATAGGTACACATCCTAATTTGTAATCCTGAATTCATGCCAACCAACACATCCCAGATTATTGTACATTTGGACATCATAACTAACTGGGTTTTGATCAAACCACCATCTACCCTGACTAGGGTTGCCAGGTCCCCTTGGGGGATTGGGGGGGTGTTCGGGGGGCAGGGATGCTCCAAGCCCCTCCCCAAGCCACAGCCACCCATGGCCACCCCTCTCCCTCCCCTCCTGCAGAGATTTAAAGGGCTTCAGCTGATCAGTGGGGAGCATGTTGCCTGTCGATCAGCTGGAGGGCTCTTTAAATCTTTCAGCAGGGAGGGAGAGGGGCTGTCACTGGCTACAGCTCCACTTGCAAAAAGACCCCTTAAAGTGATTGGGATTCAGTCCTGCACACCACAGCCCCCACCCCTCTTGCAAAAAAGACCCTTTAAAAGGTCTTTTTGCGAGTGGAGTTGAGGCTGGCGACAGCCCCTCTCCCTCCCTGCTGAAAGATTTAAAGGGTCCTGGGCCATGTACCCCCTGCCGATCAGCTGAAGCTCTTTAAATCTCTGCAGGAGGGGAGGGAGAGGGGTGGCCATGGGTTGGGGCAGGGCTTGGAAGTGGGGCTTCTGGAGGGGCTTCTAGAGCCCCCAGAAGGGGGGGAACCCCCGCTGGACCTGGGGGCTGGCACCCCTAACCGTGACATCTGAACACAGCATGTAGTGTACTAGTAGTACCTCTTAAAGAGGAATCCTACAAGTTGGGCCAGTGACACATTTTAGCAATCTATTTATTTGCATGTCACCTCTCCAGAGGCAAAGCAATTCTTACCACTTCACTGTGTTGCCCCGCGGTGCACTGAAATGCTTGCTTTTGTGCCTGTCACTACATAATCATGGCTGCTTTTCTGCGTGCTTAAATTCAGCCCGTATTCTCTCAATATTCATATTTCAGTCTTCTTTCACAGCTGGATGAACTGATCTACTACATAAATAAGAAAACAATGGAAAGCTCAGAGGAGGTCTGTGAGAAGGCCTGGAGTTGGTGCTGTCTGTACAGTGCCCTTTATCCCATTATAGCAAAATCCTTCCCTGACTTCCACTGCAGAAATAGCAGAAGGGACTCGGCTCTTCCATCTGTCTTTCCTCCCTTGAGAAGTTGTGTTGGAGTTGCAAGTTAAACGGTTCAGCTGAGCCTGTTTGCACCATCTGATATGCACAGAACACACAGTGTGATGGGGGATTCTGGATCTGATGCTGGGAAACAGTTTGTAGAGGCAAACATTGAAAAACCTCAGATGTCTGCCATGTTATATTTAGTGTGGAGCTTCAACATTAATTCAAAACATGTTTTACTGTGTGTGGTACATGATAGATGGTTGCTGTGTCTTTTGCATAAAGTACTCACTGCCAGTTTACTGAGATGGATTTTTTTAAAAACAAAAGATCTAGCAGTTCAGGATGGAACTGAGGTGGTCCAAAGGGGCCAGCTTTTTACTTTTAATTAACTTCTGTTTTGTCATATACATGCAAGCTCAGGGTGGAAGTGAGGAAAAATAGACTAAGACCTAAATCCAAAGATCTGTGCAGTGACTTCCCCATGCCTCTGAAATCATTTGAACAGTAATGCTGTGTGAAGAGGCCCAAGTTTGGCTAAGGGGGGGGGGAGGTATGGATACCCATTACTAATACCTGGGAGTTCAGGGATGATGATCTCTTGGGCTACCAGTAGGCTTGCCAAGTCCCCCCGGGGGGTGGGGAAACCCCTGCCCCAGAGGCCCGTTCCCCGCTGCCGGCGGATCGGGCCCCGGGGGGAACCCCACCCCCAAAGTGCGCGACGTGCACGTCACCTGGAAGTGACGTGACCACGCCGGGCACTCTGAGGGCAGGGCCACGGTCATCCAAGGTAAAACTCTATGGTTTTCCCTCAAATGGTTGTGGCCCCACCCCCAGCGTGCCCAGCGTGGTCCGTCACTTCCAAACTATATTGGCTGTGGCTTCCTCTTGCATTACTATTGTTAACTGTTTACCTTCTGTGTTATCTTATTGTACTTGTTCCTGCTACATATTGTTGTTCTTGTATCATGCTTTTGTAGTATATTCTGTATCTTTGTAGTGATGGTTTATGTCATGTTGTTTTGAACTTGTTGTTTTCTTGTTAATAGTTGAAGATTCATTAAAATGTGTTTTAAAAAAGTTTTCACCTCCCAAACTCCAGGTCCTGTGGGACCTCTTAACTGCAGCAGGAGCAAGAGGCCTGGGCAGTAGGGTTGCCAGGTCTCTTCTGGCAACTGACAGGAAGTGATGTCATCATGTGGCGATACTGCTGTGGCACTCTGGTGTGTGGGCAAAAACTCTATGGTAAAAATGGCTTCTACCATAGAGTTTTTACCCAAATACCAGAGCATCACCTGGATGTCACTAGTGTGATTACATCATTTCTGGTGCAATGCCGGCAACATGGCCCGGGTCTTCCTCTTTCTACTGGTAAGTCCCCCACCAGCCAGCTGATTGGCAACTGGAGGGCAGGGCCTGGCGGGAGGAGTCCCTGCCTCCACTGCGGGATCTGACAACCCTACTGAGCATGGAATGACATTACATAAGGACATGATGTTCTTGTTCTTCTTTTTTTTATGCCTCCGGTAGGGGATTTTTTTATTGCATTTTCTATAAACTACAATGACATTAGGGAGGGGATCTACAAATTATAGGAGAAAGTAAAGAAAACCCACTAAAAACCCAAGAGATGGTAGTCATACATATTGCTTAATAAGTTAGCTTTAACTCAACATTCGATTCCAATTCATTGAATGTGGTCATCTGATAATCTATTAATACTTAAGTAAAAATTTAAACACCACCGTATCTGACTTCTTAAAGAGTAATAAAAGAATTACTTAAAACATTGTAAGAGATTTCAGAGTGCAATGACATCTCATTTTTTATACTTTTCCTTTCTCAAGTGGTAGCTTGTCTTTGAGGCTACCGCCCCCAGTTTAGAATCTGAGTTCTCGTTTGAAGATGCCATTGCTCCCTCTTCTTCACTTTCTTTGGTGCTGCCTTCCTCCTCCTCTTCTTTTTCTCCTGGTAGGCGACTATGTTGATGCAGAAATTCATGTGCCTTTTCAATAGAGTCAATTTTTTATTTCTTGTCCATAAATTTGAAGATTGTGCCTTCGGGTACAAGCCATCTGTAGGGGATGTTGTTCTTCTGTAGAAATAAAACCAAGTCTCTGTATTTTCTTCTTTTCCTTCTTATTTCAAACGGGTTGTCCTTCAACACTTTTATTTCTTTGTCCTTGCTTTTCAAGGTGGTTCCATTTGTTGCTTTGAGAATTTGATCTCTCACTTGTCTTCTGGAGAATCCTATAATAACTAACCCTGGCAGATTATTCTTTCTTGTAAAATCTGAATACGACCTATAGATCGTATCAATTTCACTTTGAATATGTCCACTTTTATATCTACCATAGGGCCTAAAGCCTCTCTCATAATCTGCTTCAGATTCTCCCCCTTCTCTTCTGGAACACCTTGACATCTTAGAACACAGCTTGCTCTTTCCATTTGTAGCTGTAACAAATGAGACTCCTCCGTTTGTCTCTTTTTCTCCATCACCTGCAGTTGTTTTTTAAGCTTCTTGGTGTTGGCATCCACTTCTTTCGGTCAGTTTTATCTGTTTTTTTAGCTATCTCAGTTAGTTGGGTTTGCTTGTGGTGCATGACTTGTTCCAGCAGAGGACGCAAAGCTTCAATCAACATCTTTTGCAGCTCTGTAGTTGTGTCCTGTCTAGGCACAGAACTCACTGGGCTGGCAGTTCTGGCAAGAAGCTTAGGTTTCACTTGCTTGTCTTTTTCATCCTTCCTCGTGGGTGCCATGTTTGGGAATTGTTTACTTTTTATAAAAGTTATTGCAGTCTCTGGTACTCTTAAATCCACCTGGTAAATTCTTAAATGCTCTTTATTTCAATCCGGTTTGCTTCATTAGCCCACCCCCCTTTTCGTAATAGCTCACAGTTCACTTAGTTTTTCTTAGCGGGGGAGAGTTTCCTCCCCCTTCACTTTCAAAGGGGAGGTTTTCGGCTAGTTCTTTGGTGTTTCTCACTTAGACATTAACTCATATTTAAACGATAAGTCCACTTTTGTTTTCAATTCGCTTGGCCACCAAACGCTTGCTCCAGTGTGCGATTTCTAGTTCCCATTTGGGACGCTACGCAGCGGGGACCATCAGGGCATGGAGTAGCCCCCCTTCACCGGCAGGGTCACCGGGGGAAGGGCTCTCTAGTGCCCCATGGCTGGGAGCCCAACACGAGGGCTCCAGGGGTGGTGCGCACAGTCGCACTCCCTCCCAACCGTGGGCTCTGACGGCTGTCTTCCGGAGCTGCGGGAGAAAGCGACCGCCATGGCGGACACCGAAACCCGGAAGCCAAGGACATGATGTTCTAATGTCACTTCATGTCCGTACCCAGAAATGACACCTAGAAATTGGCACACCTCTATAGTTAAAAAGCCATACAGATGAACAGATTCCTAGAGCATCATGAGTCACCTCTGGGTACAAACTGTGACATTACAACATTGCTCCCTGACCCCAGAGGCTCCTACTGGATGCCCACATGCAGCTGGCAGCACTATTGCAAGCCCATGTTATGATCTGTCATTTCAGAAATAAAATTATTCTTTTTCCTTACACAATTTATGATGTTATATGTATGAGATGAAATCCTTGTATGTTGGTGGTGGTAGAGAATGGTCTGCATTATAGGTTTGGACTGGGCCCAGACAAATTATGCTTGGGGGCTGTACCTTACAAACCACCTCTGAAACGGAGGACAGTCTACAGATCAACCTGTGAAATGATATGGTAGGGTTGGGGAAGAGAGAGGTTCTGCTGTTTAAGCAACCAAATAACACCCCCCCCCCCGGGATTTTCAGAAGTCCTTGGGTGAGCCAAGGTGGCAGCTCAACTCCTTGCTATTTTTGCGTCTTATTTATGAATGGAATTATCTGTGTTGTTTTGCAGGACCAGATTTTTATGGAGAATGTGGGTGCAGTTAAGCAGCTCTGCAAATTAACGAACAATCTTGAAGTTAGGATAGAAGAGTTGGAAGCATGGAACAAAAAACTCGCCAAACAGAAATGGATAAACAGCTTAAAGTCAACAGCCAGTGAAAAGAAATCAGTGAGGTACCCACATTTCTCCTCTGGGCATGTACTTTGACACAAATTATTGAACAACATCCTGAATGCCAATAGGGACACAGAATTATTCTGAAAGCAATTTCTGATTATTACGGGCACATTTTCATGTGTCATCATCATCATCATCATCATCATCATCATCATCATCATCATCATCATCATTATTATTATTATTTACAGCAGCAAATGTTATGGTGTTATGAATTCATTTTTTTTAAACTAAGTATCTCTGTGATCAAAATGGCACTGAGGTACCAATAATTTCTGGAGGCTCTGCACGCTGACAAAGTGGTCTTCAGTCTTTTCAAGTTCACAGAACTGGCTTCCGGTATGCATTTTAGGTTCAGTGGAAGACTCTGGAATTTATATTGTTCCAAGCAATTTTTCAATTACTTTTTAGATAATTAATGCTATCAACCATTTACTGAAGTGAGCTTCAGGAAGGCTTCCTTCCATATCTGTGTTGTTTTTCTTCCTCCCCTTTTTATTACTTGCTATGATGAATTAGGAAAGTAAGCAATATTTTGTATTTCAGGAAATTTGACCAAGCTGCTTCTTGGTTACCATCACAAAAATCAGTTCCTACAAAACCTGACAAGGTGAGCAAAATTAAGAAATTGGTGTCTTAGAGAGGTTATAGCATTTCTGAGAGAAGTATTTCCTTTGTCATAGTATCTTAAACTAGAAAGTTAATTGAGAATTACTTATTCTAGACTAACCTTTCACCCGGGCAGGAACTTCTACCCACTAAGCTTCCCCCGTGCTACATGTTACGTAAGAGTCAGAAAGCTGGAACAAGAAAGGTGTCTCATGCTAGACAAATAACTCAGTTTAAAGAATTAGATTCTTAAGCACATGCTGCAGCAAACCCCAAAGAAAACAGAGTGATGGCTCTCCCTTGAAAACCCAAGCACAGTGATCCACCAGTCTTCTTCCATGTAGGATTGGAACATTGTACCAATGGGAGGAGTGCTAGTTCTGTGCATGCAGCTGTGAGCCAGTGTGGTCCTGTGGTTAGTGTTGGTCGAGGACCTGGGAGAGCCAGGTTCAAATCCCCCACAACCATCAAGTTATTTGGGTGACCTGGAGGCTGCCACTCTTTCTCCACAGGGGTATTATGAGGATAAAATAGAGAACCAAGTACATGCTTCTGGGCTCCTTAGATGTACGGTACAATAAACATGTGCTAGATTGGGGATTCTTCAAAAACAATCCAGTATAGATTGGATCCAGGCTAGAGATGTGAAGGCCCGGGGGGAAAAACGGAAAAATTCAGAAAAAAACGGTTTTTTCCCATTTTTTTCCTGAAGCCTTTTTTGTTTTTTTCCGAAAAATTGGAAAAATTGAAAAAAGAAAAGAAAAGAAAAAAATTGATTATGGAACGTTTTATTTTAACATGATGAATAAAATATTTTAAGACCAGGTGTTCACATATTTTCCAAATCATTTCTTATATATATATATATATACAAGTGGAGACCCGCAAGAAACTTGCGGAATGATTATCCTATTCCTCACACCTTTGCTTCCTCCTGTCTCCCTCTACCTCTCTCACACTCTTT